TACTAATTTGATCAACATCGTAGCGTCCGGTTACTCGTGAAAGTAAATTTCACTAGAGGCTAGTAAATCTTGTTAGAAATTTATAAACCAACGGTTCGCTACTTTTTCATCTAAATTCGATGTTCGACGGTGTTAGGTCAAGTTCAAGCTCGATTTGTAGAATCCGTTGCATACTAATTTGACCAACGTCGTGACGTTTGGTTACTTTTGTGCAAGCAAACTTCACTGGAGTCTAGTAACCTAACCTAAACTTAACCAACGGTTCGCTACTTTTTCATCTAAATTCGATGTTCGACGGTGTTAGGTCAAGTTCAAGCTCGATTTGTAGAATCCGTTGCATACTAATTTGTACAACGTCGTGACGTTTGGTTACTTTTGTGCAAGTAAACTTCACTAGAGTCTAGTAAGTTTTGTCAAGAATCCATTTTTCAAATTTTATTTCTGACGAAGTTAGTTCAAGTTTTATAAGATTTGTAAGATCCGTTAGATACTAATCGTGTTTAATATCGCAACGTCTGGTTACTTTTCTTGGAAGCAAAATTTCACCAGAGGCTAGTAACTTTTGTCAGAAATCTGATCTCTCAGATCAAAAGTTCTTTTTCATTTAAATTCGACTTTGATTCAAGTTCAAATTAATATTAATTTGATCAATAATCAATATTAATTTAATTAATATTATAACGACTGGCTACCTCTGACAGTAACTTTTACTAGAGTCTAGTAAATTGAATCCTTAAAGAGTGTTAAGGACTTTACTACCATGGACATACAAAAATGCTCATTTAAAAATGGAGTTACTTGATATCGTAGTGGCACCAATATATTTTCACTTGAGAATCCCTTGTTTCTCTTGGAAATGAATAATACAATATTTACACCTGAAATTGATTCCACTTCGTTAACTTTTAATTCTATAATTACAGAATGCACTCCATTACAGATTCAGATTCTAATTGGTATAATCTGGCTCGATCAGGTTCCCACATATACGTGTCTCACGTTTGTTTCGCTTGTTTATCTTGTCTCTCTGCTAATTTCGATTCACTCGTCTCGATTAGATTCAGCTCGAATCTAGTCGATAGCTGGTTTCCCCGATGACTGATAGGAACACACCAGACGTGGCAACATGCTTAATTTACAACTTCACCGAGGGACACGACTGGCTGCGTTTATGAAGCAATTTACTGCGATGCTCACTCTCTTATGGCTTTGTCATCAGGCGATTGAGTACAGAGGAAAAAGAAAATCAAGAAATTCCGATCTCGGAGAGAGTTATTAGGTTGTTTCCTATGGTGTCAACGCGGCGACGATATTAATCAACAATTGAAAAAGCTTCTCCCGGAAATAATGATCCAAACAGGGTATCAAATAATTTTCAAACAACATCCTGTCTCTCTTTTACATAAAATTTTCCGTCTAGATTATCCTTAATCCGCATATAATTTAGGAGTAGTTCCATCTCACGATCATTTGATCTTTTCTTTTTTTTTCACGCATTGATATGAATACAAAGGTTCTCTCGGTTCTAAAGCTTAGCCGGTTCAATTATTGTTTGGATAAAATGAAATCCCCGTTCAATTTATACGAAAGAACAAATTGGTGCTGCAACTTTCAGAGCAATTTACTTGATTCACCATCTTATCTCGCGGGCCCCTCCTACCGATAAAAGCTACTCAATTATTATTGGAACTGTTGCTGTCTGCAGTTCGTTTACGTATTTACGAGAACCTCGAAAATGCATAGAACGCGCTTAATATGCTAATACGAAGTTACTAGAAATATCTGAAGTTCCATTTCTTCATGGAGTGAAGTAGACTTTCACTTGGGTTTTTTTATCCTCTTAACCCAGCCCTTGATTTATAATTTCTTGGTAGATTGTTCGTTAAGCTGAAGAAGAGAGATGTTTATTAAGCCGAAGGAAGAAAATTGAAAGGTTCGAATTGAATGTTCTTACGGAACGCGTAACCTGTTTTCATTGGATAATAACCATAATAAGCTCTACGCGCGTGAATCGATATTATAAAGCAAGGGCCCTTTATAACCAGAATTTTGTTTGCTTTTAATCTGACAACTAATAATTCTTACGAATAATTCATTTTGATAGATATTCTTGTGTCGATGAGACAATTTTATATATATAACACACACACACACACACACACACACACACACACACACACACACAC